CTCCTGCGGCGCCGCGCCTCCTCTCAGTGCCTGCACCTGCTGTTCATCATGGTACGCGTGCTACGCGTGCCGGTCAACGACTACCGACTGACCTGCGGCATCCTCAAGACACGAGGTGAGGTCGGTGAGCGCTGGCTGACCCTGCTCAGTGGCTCTTAGGTGACGTCAGCAGAGCGCTGACTGACCCTGCTGGCTCAGTGACAGCCTTAAGGTATGGCCAACAGAGCGCTGGCTGATCCCTGCTGGCTCAGTGACAGTCTTTAAGGTAAGGTCGACAGAGCGCTGGCTGACCCCTGCTGGCTCAGTGACAGTCTTTAAGGTATAGCCGACAGAGCGCTGAATGACCCCTGCTGGCTCAGTGGCGGTCTTTAAGGTAAGGCCGACAGAGCGCTGGCTGATCCCTGCTGGCTCAGTGACAGTCTTTAAGGTATGGCCGACAGAGCGCTGGCTGATCCCTGCTGGCTCAGTGGCAGTCTTTAAGGTATGGCCGACAGAGCGCTGAATGACCCCTGCTGGCTCAGTGGCAGTCTTTAAGGTAAGGTCGACAGAGCGCTGGCTGACCCCTGCTGGCTCAGTGACAGTCTTCAAGGTATGGCCGATAGAGCGCTGGCTGACCCCTGCTGGCTCAGTGACAGTCTTTAAGGTAAGGCCGACAGAGCGCTGGGTGACCCCTGCTGGCTCAGTGGCGGTCCTTACCGACACCGTCAAAACTCGGCAGCAGTTTACAATTATGCTGAACGCTGTCACAGTGTCTGTTACGGCTATGCCGACTGCGTTCGTCCAAACTTGCAAGAAGTCCATACTTGGGGCCCGACAGCAAACTGCGCTCGTTTCGCTTCTGCGGGGTGAGAGGCGCTCACTGAGTTCTCATCAAGCATGCAATATCGATATGTTACTGGGTGCTGTATCGATATGTTACTAGGTGCTGTTTCTGCCTGTGTTGCACCAGTGGTATGCAACGTATGCATGCCGCACATAGCAACCAGACACATGAGGTGTGCCAGAGGGGCGGTTCCGTGACGGCGTGATTCCAGATGCGGTGTCCGTCACGTCACGTGTGTTTTGCTCGGTCACCTGTTCTGTTGTCATCTCTCCGACCAATGCTCGGTTCAGATACGCCATCGTATTTTTATTCCCGGTCGATTCGGTCACATACCATATGACGGACTGGTGATCAGTTCAGTCTCCCGTCAGATGTCATGTGCTATGATCTGTAGCCTATTCAGTCATCCGCATTTCTTGTCTCCGCGTTTTGTATGTGACTTTCCTGTGTTTTTGTCAATGCAGTGGTGGATTCCTCGTGTGAATGATCCTTCAGCTTCTCCTGCAGGTGCTTATCAGTCCTTTATCTGACTTGACCAGAGAACATCTGCCATGATTTTGTCCCTCCTGGCTGGCGATCGCTTCAGTCAGTCAATAGTGGTCGTGCCCTATCTGCGTGCTCATGTCAGCAGCTGTGCTCCGTCTCTGACGTCAACTCGATGTTCAAGCTGTATGGATGGCGTCATGACCGCGTTTTTTTATTTTTTATTATTATTTCATTAGTCAGTTTGGCTTGTAACGGCCATTTCAGGGCTGTGGGACGAGGGAGTGGCTAATGGTGGGCAAAACTACATGTGTCTGGGGATCCTACGCTGCAAGTCTAACGCCGCACAGGGGCCCCTCTGGGGCCGTGCCGGCCCTCGGGTGGGGCTCCTGCCAGGGGTGCTTAAGCCCGCTCATGGTGGTGCATGCAACTTACCTCAGATTAGCGGGTCGTTGCAAGGATTCAGGATGAAGCAGGGACTAAGGAAAGCAGCCACGTTGTGACGTCACGCCCGCGCCGATAGGTGGACGCAATGCTGCAGACGTACAGACGTCGCCGCATATCTCAGGTGGCCAGCCCGTCGCCGGGCGACGCTCTGACGTCAGACGCCAACGGGTGGGTATGATGTCACTGAGGACATCAGCTTTGGATCACAGGCCCGCTGTATATCGCGTCTGTCGTGCGTTGGTGAACTTGTGGGCCAGTGCTGGATCGTGTTCGCTGCGAATGACAGCGATTCGCTAGAGTTGTGCTCCTGTTTTATTCGATATCAGCGAGATTTGTGACAAACCTGCCAGTTATAGCAGCACCATTTATACTGTCCTTTATATAAGCACCATCGATACGCTTTTTTTAGAATTCTGACAATGATCTGTATCCCTTTAGCGACGATCGCTGCTGTGCCATCTGTTTGCTGGAGCTGGCGGCCGGCGACGGTCTGGTACAGTGCGTGGAGGGCTGCCGCAGTTACTTCCACCACCGCTGCATGGCCGTGTGGGCGGCCTGTTCACCGGAGGCGCCGCTCTGCCCTCTCTGTCGCGTCGGCTGGCCGGGCCCTCTGACGCCGTCAGCGACGCAGCCGGCCGGCGCCGTCACCGCCTCCCCGCCGTGTTCGCCTGGCGCCGGCGCCAGCTCCCCGTCGACGGTCCGCAAGCCCGGCCGCGCCTGCGCGCCGTTCTCGCACCAGGCCGCCGTGCTGCCGCCGTCACCTGCCGCCGCCGTGCCCGCCTCGCACACGGCCGGCGCCGCCTCGCCGACGGCCTCCCGCAAGCCCGGCCGCGCCTCCGCGCCCGACTCGCACCCGGCCGGCGCCCTGTCGCCGTCGCCCGCCGCGCGCCCGCCTCGCACACGGC